TCCTGCCCCCCTTGCTACCTTTCTCTGATAGAAGCAGCAAGGTGTATGTGCATGCGTGCGCGCGCACATGCTTATCAGATAGTCGATTAGTCACTTACTAGTCCCTATTTCCCATTACTTGGGCATTTTAAAGGGATGCTAACCAATTTGCTTTCTGGTTCTTGATTTGCATTCAGCAAGAGAAAGAAGAACAACATCAGTTGGCTGTCACTGCTTACTTAAAGAATTCAAGGAAAGAGCATCAGCGTATCCTTGCCCGTCGTCAAACTATAGAGGAGAGAAAGGAGCGTCTTGAAAGTCTAAACATTCAACGTGAGAAAGAAGAGTTGGAACAGCGTGAAGCTGAACTTCAGAAAGTTCGTAAAGCAGAAGAAGAGAGACTGCGCCAGGAGGCAAAAGAGAGAGAGAAGGAGCGTATTCTGCAAGAACATGAGCAAATCAAAAAGAAGACTGTTCGTGAACGCTTGGAACAGATTAAAAAGACTGAACTGGGAGCCAAGGCATTCAAAGATATTGATATTGAGGTAAGCAACTTATTACTGGAATATTTGAATTATTCTAGATTCTTATACTGTTACTCAACTGCCTAAATTTCATATTCTCACTTGCTTTGTTTTTATGTCAGTAAGATGTTCCTAAAAATATGAGGCTACCTATTTGGGCAACTTAAATATTTGATTTTTTTCAGTCATTGGGGGAGGAGCTATTTACATAGAGGAAAGATGTCCGGCCATTTCAGAGGGGACTGAAGATTTCTTTTATCTAGATACCTATCTACTAGTAAAACATGAAATAGACAACTGGTGACAACCGACTATATCGTAGAGTTCTACTGGTGACAACTGACTATATCTTAGAGTTGAGATAAAAATCCACGAGATGTTGTCAAAGTATAATGCAAGTTACACAACAGATCTTAACAGGAGTCTAAAATTGTTCAGAAAGTCAGCTAGTTTGAAAGTTAAATGAGAGATTGCATAAAAGTTGAAGTAAACATAGTTGTTTCCTGGCATAGGGAAACTACATTCATTTGCTTTTTGTACTGTTTAGTAACTCGAATATCTGATTGTAGGATCTTGAAGAATTGGATCCCGACTTCATCATGGCTAAACAGGTTGAACAGCTGGAGAAAGAAAAAAAAGAACTCCAAGAACGTCTGAAGAATCAGGAAAAGAAGGTATATAAAGCAATACGAGTATGGGTTTGCCACACAGACATTTACACAGGTTTTGTTAAACCATTGGAAACTGCTGTGTAGGTTTATTTTAATCTAAAACAATACCCGTTTACCTTGCTCTAGAGATACAGGAATAAGTTGAATTGATATAAGCCAGGTTTTAATTGACTAGTGTCTCCACACATAAATCTGCACCAATTTATCAAAATTGATTTAAAATCAGACTGTGAATTAAACAGGTACAAGTAAGCATGTTTCATAAACCAGTATGCTGAAAATACTGAGGTAGTGAATATATTGAGGTAGAGATTTTTTTTTTTTTAAGCATATCTGGTTTGGTTTTTATTTTGTACGGTATGTGTTATACATACGCTGACCTTCTGTCCCGGATTTTCCGGGACAGTCCTGATTTTTAATCTCCTGTTCTGGTGTCCCCATGAAACACTGAAATGTCCCGAAAAGCCCAGAGACTCCAAGGCAGCTAGAAGCAGCGGTGCACTGTTTCCCCTCTCCCATCCTTGGCTTGGAGAATAAGAGTTAGGGAGACTTCCTGCAGGCTTTCCCTGCTACTCAGGAATCTTCCAATAGGAGCAGTGGGAGGCCTGCCTGTTGGGAGCGTGCAAAAGCAAGGAATTAGCGGGGAGAGGGGGCACTGGTAACCAGCACTTGGGTCACCTGGGGAGTGGGAGGCACTGGACTGGTGCGTCTCAGCTAGGGGGGGGGTGGGGGAGTGCTGGGCCACTACATCTCAGCTGGGCTGCAGGGAGGGTGGGGGGAGCTGGTAACAAGCACTTGGCTTAGCTGGGCTGCGGGGATGGGGGATTCCGGGAAATCCAATGGAGATGAGGGGGAAGGAAGCAGCAAGGGGCATGAAATGACCTCCCCTGATCCAGAAAAACCCTCATCCAGCACCAGTCAGGTTCTGAGGATGATGGACCAGGGAAGTCCAACCCCTATACCCAGTCCGCTCCTGAACCCTTCTTCCTGTCCAGACTCTGCACCCTCTCTCCTGGTCAGACACGCTATACCCAGCCTGCTTCTGCACCCTACTTCCCACCCAGACCTTGCAACCGCCCCCCCCATCTCCCTCCCACATCCTACACCCCGTCGTCCCTATTCCACTCACTGGCAGCCCTGTCCCAAACACTGAATCCCTCAATTTTGTCCCCACCCCAGAACCTTAAGGGGGTCCATAAAATACACCAGAAAGATCAGATTTACCTGTGGGAAGACCTGATCCTCAGTCCTCCATGTCGCTTCTCCTCACCCCTTGGGGCTGGAGCACCAGAGGAGTGAGGTATCTCAGTTGGGGGCCACCTCAGTATGGTTTGGGGGTTTTTGGAGGTGATTTTTGCTTCTCACTTGTGTGGCCCTCAACTAACTTTTCTGTGGGTCAGTGGCCCCTGACCCAAAAAAGGTTGACAACCCCTGCTATAAATAAAGAAAACATTGAAACCTTTTGGTTTGACATAAATTCATATTTCATTTTATTTAAAATGAAATTTGATAAACTAACATGAGAATTAAAATGCCTAATCTGTTTAATAATTTAAATTAAGCTGTTCTCCCCTGCTGTATAGAACTAGCAAAATGGCTGGGGTGTAATTATGTAATTAACGGTGAGTTTCCATTAGCAACTCGTAGTCCAGTTGTAAACTGGAAAGGTTTACACTGAGCCAGGTGGTCCATGGGTCAAAAAATTTGAAGACCCTGAAATAGAGGCACCATGTCGCCGCCCACCCCCACCACCATCTCCTTCGGCTCCCTGCTGCTCCACAAGAGTTCACAGAGAGATTGGATCTGTTACCATGGCAGTGAAATCACCGGGTTACCCCGGTGTGGATGATGGACAGACTCTTCTGTATGAGTTTCCATTAGCAACTCGTAGTCCAGTTGTAAACTGGAAAGGTTTACACTGAGCCAGGTGGTCCATGGGTCAAAAAATTTGAAGACCCTGAAATAGAGGCACCATGTCGCCGCCCACCCCCACCACCATCTCCTTCGGCTCCCTGCTGCTCCACAAGAGTTCACAGAGAGATTGGATCTGTTACCATGGCAGTGAAATCACCGGGTCACCCCGGTGTGGATGATGGACAGACTCTTCTGTAAGTCTCCCTCATCCAAGCAGTTGATGATTTAAACATCATGTTAAGATGCCACATGAAAACACTTGGTGCGTCCACAAAGAGGCAGGATGTATATTTTTCCTTTTCCTTTTCTTATTTTCATGACTTGTGTGTCTGGGTAAACAAGTCCTTGATGAGATATTTTGACCTCCAGTGTCAAGGGATTTGTTCTTCTGTCTTTGGGCTGTATGTTGCCTAGACCTAAATGGAGTTATCTGTGACAATGTATTTCTGAGTTATTCTGAGACACAGTGAAACCTGTGAGAAAGACCCCACGTCAAGTGAGAGAAAATGCTGCTATCAAAAGAAATCAATTCAAAGTCTCTCCAATTTTCTTCAAAGATCACCTCAGCCAGGCAGTGGGACTTTTACTGATTGGTCCCTTATATTTTTGAAGAGTGACTAAATGTTAACTGAATCTTTTTGGGTAATGTCAGCAGATTGCTTTGGTCCCAATCCTAGCTTAAAGTTTAAATTATATCAGGCCCTTTGTAAGCAGGTTAGGAAGTGGTCTGATTTGGCAATTATTATTAGATATTATTTACATAATATAGGCATTGCTATCATGGTATTGACATACACATTTCTCAGTAGCTTTACATATAAAATAGCCCAGCCCCATTGATCTCCATGGGAAATGTACCTTGCAAGCAGTGGTGGAGGGGGTTAAGTAAAATGGTCTTCTCCACCCTGTAATTGTCATGGTTAGTTCAATATTGTCATTATGGCTTATGGAAACAGAGGATGCTTGATAGTTTTGCAGTAACTTCAAAAAATGCAGTTGCAGCACATCTCATTAGGGATGTAAATTTCTATTTAATCAGTAAACCAGTTAATGTTAGGTCACACTGGGGCTGCCACTGGCTGGACTCCCCATAGAAAGAGGCTGCTCTGGACACTGGCACAATTCCCTGCCTGTAGGACCCCTGAGTTCTGCACAGACAGGGGCTTCTACGGACAAGAGCAGCTGCTGTCTGCAGTGAGCCCTCTGCGGGGCTGAAGCAGCTCCCTGCCCGAAGCAGGTAGAGAGCTGCTCCAGTCCCCCTGATTACCTGTTACCTTATGATGCCTACTAGGCTCAATTAAGAGGACTAAGGAAGTTTTCCCGTGAAATTGTGAGATCGTTCTGGATGATTACCAGGCCCTGAGTCAAATGGGGCTGCATCTACACTGCAGAACAATAGGGTTGGATCTGAAGTGCTGCAGTGTCATGAGACCTTAGGTCTGGGGACTGGGTTAATGCGTTTGCAGTATAGTTGCATGGGGACTCCTACAGTGACCAAACCCATCACTATTGGTAGAGGACAGTGGGAGTTCTTGGAGGAGTCACACAAACCCATCCCTATTGGTAGAGGACAGTGGGAGTACTTGGAGGAGTCACGTGACACTTTTCCAGTCATGTGAACCTCTTGACCCCAGAAGTACTATCGCCAGGGGTGGGACTTCCTGTGACAGGAGGGTGGGGCCTTAAAAGGTCAGGGGCATGGCTAATGTGTCCCTATTTTTGCTTCAGAAAATATGGTCACTGTAATTATACATTTATTTTTTTATATTTAGATTGACTATTTTGAAAGAGCAAAACGCTTGGAAGAAATTCCCCTGATAAAGACTGCCTATGAAGAACAAAGAATCCGAGATATGGACCTTTGGGAACAGCAAGAAGAAGAAAGGGTAAAGATATTTTGATTTCATATAGCAGCATCATTTGGTCCTAATTATATTAGCTGGCTCTGTGCCATTTCCCCTGTCCAGCTGAATCCAAGAAGAGGAGATGTGATTTAGTTCATAGGGGATTCTTTCAGTTTATCGTTATTTCCTTCCCACTCCTGGACAGCAGAGTATTTTGTGGCAGTCAAGATAGAGTGAAGAGGCAGTTATCTGATAAACTGCCTCTGGATTTGGATACTAAGGCTGGAACAACCTGAGGAGATTTGCTGTGTGTTATAAAGACAAATATTATGTAATTAAAAAAAATATATTTTTTACTTTTGCATGTTTGCAGATCACGACAATGCAGCTGGAACGAGAAAAAGCCCTGGAGCATAAGAACAGAATGTCAAGGATGTTGGAGGATAAAGACATGTTTGTAGCTAGGCTCAAGGCAGCACGACAATCAGTTTATCAGGTAAACGTCATGTGTTCTTGTTGCAAAAGCATTTCCATAAAGTACAGGACTTAATTTGTGAGATCAGTTTTCCACTTGAAAAATACAGATGAATTAAGAAATAGGCCTAGAAAAGATGTCTGTTTAAATTACAATGATAATGCTCTGCTGTGTTTCAGAAACTATGGGGGAAAGTCCTTTCTGACAATCTAGAACAATCCCAGTTCTGACAGAAGTCCCTTTAAGAGACAAACAGTGGTGGCCACAATGTGACATTGAGTCACAGAACAGTTTTCTAAGTCCAGAAAGTCATGGTTCTTTAATTGAGAGTAACGTTAATGAAGCGTGAATGGGAGTGGAGGTGTCCATAGGATTATCTAGCGGAGCTACTTCCCACATACCGTCATTTGAAATGGTTGTGGCAGCTCCCACTTTTGCTTACATGGATAAGTAATTATTAAAACATTCCGTTTATTTTAGCTGCCTTTTAATGCAGTTTAGAAGCTGTAAATAAGGGGAACAGCAGGATGTGACTAGTCAGCTCTTCCAGACCACAGATGATCCACGGACCACAGTTTGGAGTTGCTCCTCTGGTTAGAGTAATCTTGAAAATGTTTAATAGACTTAATTTTGAAAATAGACTTAATTTAACACAATTAATGAGTTTCATTTGTATCTTGTTAGTTGCTTCAGCAGATCACCTGTACATTACTGAGGTTACTGGTATTTTAGATGAAAGACTAGGTTTGTGACCTGAAGAGGTCATACCTAAATTAGATAAATGAAAGGGGAGAAGACATGCACTAGAAATTGTATGACTTGGTTTCCTTTTCTAGCATTTTGAAAACTGTACTGTATTTCTCTTTGGTGTACAAGAGATTTAGCAGTTTTCCTCCTGTAAATATTATGGAATTTAGAAGGGAAAATTATTATGCAAAAATTTATATGTGGAGTAACTCTTTAGGAGTTACCTCAACAGAGTTTTTTCTTATAATTATTAAGGATATGAGAAATTGTTAAACTTAATATTCTGCAGAAGTAGGAATCTAAATTGTTTTGCTGTTCTAACTACTGTTAAAGAAGAGGTTTTAGCAGCTTTCTGATAGTTACGCACAACTTTTTGCGGGGGACTTCATATGATTCCTGAAAGATTGGGCATCCATATATCATACTTGAATTTCTGATCAGCACTGAGGCTGCTTATTCTGTTTCTGAGAGGTGGACATTGCATCCCTGTGTGCTTTCCTTCCCAGAAGAGGGCTGGCAGGAGAAAAGTTCAGCCATTACCCCGTAAAATGGCCAGCAGATGGAAAGTAGTTGATTACTGCATAATTTATTTGTCGTTACTATTTTGTGGTTCTTTGCATCTGTGTTGAGTGACCTAAATAGCTCTCTAGCCATTTAGATTGAGTTCTGAAAGTTTTTCTTGTACTCTTGCTATTCTTCAGGAAAAGCTCAAACAGTTCCAAGAAAGATTAGCAGAAGAGAGGCATAATCGTTTGGAGGAACGCAAGAGACAGCGTAAAGAGGAGAGGCGTATTTCTTATTACAGAGAAAAGGAGGAGGAAGAGGAAAGATTGCGAGAGGAAAAAATACTTAAAGGTAAAAATTGAGACACGTATTGAGTAAACAGACTGATATTATATTATATCTCTGTCTTGAACCATCCAAAAATCTTTCAGAGTCAAACATAGGTCACCATATTTCACCGGATAGTAGGAAATTGTTATGTTCAAGAAGGTTCTATATCCATTGCAACCAGATGGTGCATCTTGTGAACTACATGTTTGTGCAGCCACCCAGCCTGCTGGCAGCCTTTCTGCATTTATGCATGCTTGCTCACTCGCTTGGTCACTCTCTCTCTGAAAATGGGGACAGAGGTGTGTGGGATGAAACAAAAATAAAGAGGCAGTAATGAATGAGGGAGGGTATAGAGTAAGAATGCTAGATATTCTCTGCTTATAGGTTTCAAATTAAAATTCTCAGTCTTTCAGTACGTAAGCAGAAAAAATAGAGGGAACATTGTGGATCATTGCAGTGTTCTTTCTAGTCCTACTTCTTTTGTCTGTGGTGGTCAGTACCTGAGATGACAGAAGATGATGCTTGGAAGCCCTTCAATTGGACAGTTATGAAGTAGCTTTCCTAAGGCAAATGTTTTCCCAGCCTGTTAGTGGGTGGCTGAAGTCTTGAAGTGACAGTTGTTTTTCCTTTATAAAAACACTACAAAATCTTATCTTTATTCAGGATTTTTGTGTCTGCCTTATGAAATAATGTGCTGGTTTTTTTTAATATGTCCTTGAGAAGAGCTTCTTGCCTATGCTTGAGGTACATCAAGATTGTTTAGTATTTCACAACTTAGTTTTAATAAATTTGATTTGTGCAGAAGCATATACGTATGTGTATAGTTCCTTTGTTAAATATCCAACAGCTGAGATATGAAGTTATTCAACTATTTTTGTTTTTGTTTTTGTTTTTTTCTGTCACTTAGATGTTAATTATTTTCAAAAGAAGAATACAGGCAGTCCCCGGGTTACGTCAGCCCGACTTAAGTCGGACCCCTAGTTACGAATGGGGGGGTGGGGGGGAGGAGAGAGAGAGACGCACTAGTGCGGGGTGCCTCCCCCACTGTCGCCGCCTCTGGCGGCGCGGGGGGCACTTCCCCCCAGCCGACCCG